GCATATCAACAGGGGCCATATGCTATTCTGCATATTTATAGGGGTCATAAGCTATTCTGTTGTATGCATATTACTAGGTGGCCATATGCTATTCTGCATATCAATAGGGGCCATATGCTATTCTGCATATTAATAGGGGTCATATGCAATTCTGTTGTATGCATATTAATAGGGGCCATATGCTATTCTGCATAACAATAGGGGCCATATGCTATTCTGCATATTTATAGGGATCATAAGCTATTCTGTTGTATGCATATTAATAGGGGGCCATATGCTATTCTGCATATCAATAGGGGTCATATGCTATTCTGCATATTAATATGGGTCATATGCTATTCTGCATATTAATAGGGGTTATATTCTATTCTGTTGTATGCATATTAATAGGGGCCATATGCTATTCTGCATATCAATAGGGGCCATATGCTATTCTGCATATTTATAGGGGTCATAAGCTATTCTGTTGTATGCATATTAATAGGGGGCCATATGCTATTCTGCATATTAATAGGGGTCATATGCTATTCTGCATATTAATAGGGGTCATATGCTATTCTGCATATTAATAGGGGTCATATGCTATTCTGCATATCAATAGAGGTCATATGCTATTCTGCATATTAATAGGGGTCATATGCTATTCTGCATATTAATAGGGGTCATATGCTATTCTGCATATTAATAGGGGTCATATGCTATTCTGCATATCAATAGAGGTCATATGCTATTCTGCATATTAATAGGGGTCATATGCTATTCTGCATATTAATAGGGGTCATATGCTATTCTGCATATCAATAGAGGTCATATGCTATTCTGCATATCAATAGGGGCCATTTGCTATTCTACATATTTATAGGGGTCATAAGCTATTCTGTTTTATGCATATTAATATGGGGCCATATGCTATTCTGCATATCAATAGGGGCCATATGCTATTCTGCATATTAATAGAGGTCATATGCTATTCTGCATATTAATAGGGGTCATATGCTATTCTGCATATCAATAGGGGCCATATGCTATTCTGCATATTACTAGGGTCATATGCTATTCTGCATATTAATAGGAGTCATATGCTATTCTGCATATCAATAGGGGCAATATGCTATTCTCCATATTTATAGTGGTCATAAGCTATTCTGTTGTATGCATATTAATAGGGGGCCATATGCTATTCTGCATATTAATAGGGGTCATATGCTATTCTGCATATCAATAGGGGCAATATGCTATTCTGCATATTTATAGGGGCCATATGCTATTCTGCATATCAATAGGGGCAATATGCTATTCTGCATATTTATAGGGGTCATAAGCTATTCTGTTGTATGCATATTAATAGGGGGCCATA